CAGACTATACATGAAACTGAAACTGAAAATGTTGATCTGCAGTGTTTTCGAAGAGAATGTTCAATTGTGTCTTGCAGATATGTCGATTGCCTAGTTACAAGAACAATAGACGTCTGACGTCAGGTGTATGAGGTCACCATGTCAAAAACAGTACTTTTCAAATACATCCGTTTGGGTCAGTCAAAAGCGGTATTGTCTGCCATAGCAGGTCACATGTGAGACTTTCTGTCTTTCCGTCTTATAAGTGATATATCGGGGTACATTCTATCTCGTTATACAGCACTTAAGGGCATCGCAGGTAGATTGTGCGTGGCTTCCAGAGACAGTTTGCGACGAATTCCACAGTCTTGGAGGAAAACAAAGCATTATTCACGCAACCGCATCACAGCGACAATTGGCGAACATTGATCTTGGGCTGAGCGCGTGCTCGTCACGCGAGTCTGTCAATTGATAAACTGTGTTATCTTCGCTCACACAGTCGGGTGCTCAATACGCAGTGTTGACTTTCCATTTTTGATGATGCCACAGCAATTTCGCTTATTTAAAAAAAAATGTAAATGGTCCTGCAATGAGTTTCCTCCTGAAGCCAGCTTGGGGGCACGGGGAAGAGATCTGCAGCGGACATGATGTTTAAGAACATATTCAGTTTTCGTCATATTTGTATAGCTCATGGACTGTAACAGATTGGTAACTTTTCTGGCTTATATAGAAATCGTTCAACTCTTCGCGGTGATTTATCGACATTTCACAGAGCATAAAGATGGTTCTATACACCCACGGAGGGGGAAAATCTTACATAAAAGCCCTAATTGAAGTGAAGCTGTACAAAAAATGCACCAATCAATAACAGGGACTAGACCGGTAGCAGCTCCATGGGTCTTCGCGGCTAGATATTCATGTGACGACACTCTAAACTTCATAAGTAAGGGTGGACTTTTTAAATTTACATCCAAGTTTCACATCAAGCACTGTTAACTTTAGAACGCCATGGCTAAATAGGTACGAGTACATGTATATGTCGCTGGAAACAGGTAAACCCAGTCAAGTCGAAAAACTCGCATGGGTGCACATGAACGAAACTAGTTGGCAGTCTATAATTAGTTTAATCACAATAACAATTTGCCTTGGAAACCCGAGGGCAAGTCATGGCAGAATATAAGTAAATGATACACTGTTTGGATTCTTTTTTAATCTCGGTTAAAGAATCAAACAATGGGGGATGGTATCATAATCTATATTGCATATAATACTCTTTATGTGTACAGTGTGATGTATTGTGTATACTGAAACATAGATATATTTCTTACCGATTTGTCACAATTGGTGAATTGTGATACAATATGCACGTGGACCGTGTTGCCAGTATCACGAGTGAGTGAGTGAGTGAGTAATGTCGATCACATGACCATCAATATACGGTGTATAGAAAACGAGTGTGCAGAATTGATAAACCGGCTGAGTCTGTTGACCTAAAGGTTTATCCCAGTGTCTGTACCTTCCTTCCATGTAGAAGGTCGATACAGCCTTCCCCCGGTCAGATGTCAATCGGAGGATGATTAAATACCTCTTCAATGACAGCAGTAAATGCGAGTCAGACTCTTCATATTTCTTGAATCTGATCACCCGTTGCAACATCGCCGACAACGACCAAACTCGGTGAACGAGCTAGCCTAATAGATGAGATATTTATTCCACAGTTTTAAAACATCCTTTCAACCAAATGCATTAACACGTCGTTAATAGATGCTTTTGATCTGTCAAATTATTAATAGTTATTCCAGTAATTCTTATTTCCATAATCGAATGTTTTCTCACAAAGTAAATTGAGTACAACGCGTCAAATCGTTTTACCGACAGCTTTTGTTGGTTTCAATAAGATTTCACAGACAACATGAATAATACAAAAAACGATAATGGAAACTGTGCGATGTGTCGACACACATTAGCTGTGGCCACACAAAGGATGGCACTAGAAGGGATCGGTTACAGGCGAGAAATCCAATTGGGAACATCAAAGGGAAAGCACATAGAGCCATCAGAAGGGAGGGACGTAGTCACGTGGGCGTGTATAGGTATCCGTCTTGTGTTGAGACGCTAGGTAACTAGTGTTCGCGTGAGTCTGGACACGAAGAAAACAGTGTGTATGTGGTTTGTGCGCGCGCGTGTATGTGTGTGCGTTTTTGAGTGCAAGAGTGATGTAACGTTCTTTACATGAGGGACGTTGCACAAGGTCATCCTGACGTTGAGAGAGCCTTTCGGCTTTAACTAGCAGGTTACACCCATTCCCCCTGATCTGTCTCAGTGGCGAATGTCTGACTATTTCTGAATGTCAGTACATGGCAAAATGACACAAGTGACTTAAATATCACAAAGTCTCACAATTTCTCGTACTCTCGATATAATTAGTCATGTAGCATATAGACTGACTGAGTTTGGTTTTACGCCGCTTTTAACAATATTCCAGCAACATCACGGCGGGGACACCAGAAATGGGCTTCACACATTGTACCCATGTGGGGATTCGAACCCTGGTCTTCAGGCGTGACGAGCCAACGCTTTAACCACTAGGCTACCCCACTGCCCCTGTAGCATATAGATTTCCTGAAGACGTACGTGAACATCAGGGAGTATGGGCGTCCTATGTTAACTGCAGACACCATCAAATGAAATATTACCATATAGGCCTATAGTTCTTACGAATCTTATTTCACTTTGGAATTTCGAAGTTCAGGATCGGCTAAACCATTTGGGGCTCGCTGGATAGGTCGATTACGTAGCGTTATTCTTTTACTACTTTAGCAATTTCAATTTAGCGTGGATAAGAAATAGAAACCCATATCGGCAGGATAGTTTCTCGCTTGGGTAACTGTTAACTGTACCATGCTCCGTCATAGTATAAAGAAAATAGCGTCATGAACCTGTGACGTCATAAACAATAAATGACGTTATTTTGCATTGCTATTGCAGCAGTGTCTGTCCAATCAGGTTGGAGAATTGCTAAACTTGTACAACCATGTGTTAATGACTTGTTGCATATGACGGGAGTCAACCCGTTTGTCAAGACTGAGAGCTGACCGTTTATCTGGTGGTCATTCGGCCTGTAATCACCGGACCCTGTTGATCTGAGATATCGCTGTATGGACTGTAGGGACTAAACTCAACAACAAGAAATACCAACAAAAACAAAACACAAACAAAACAAACACCCCCGCGCCCCCCAAACAAAAAATCCCATGATTGTGGGGTTCGAAGATTACACTGACTGAGTTTGGTTTTACGCCGCTTTTAGCAATATTCCAGCAACATCACGATGGGGGACACCAGAAATGGGCTTCACACATTGTACCCATGTGGGGATTCGAACCCGGGTCTTCGGCGTGACGAGCCAACGCTTTAACCACTAGGCTACCCAACCGCCCTCGAAGATTACAGATTATGATTACAAATTATATTTCGTGATCACGTTCAATAATCAATGAGGCCATCGACATCCAAGAGAGTGTAAATGGTGTTACGCTACTTAAGCAATAAGTCAACAATATCATGTCACTCATCGTACCCATATTGGGAATCGAACCCAGGCCCTCGTTATGACGACAGAACGCTTTAACCATCAGGCTACCCTACCGCCCAATCCTGATATACGTGCAGTACTCACCGTGTATCATGTTCACGACAATTATGCTGCTTATGAACATGTTAACTGCTGTTCTTAGTTAAAAGGGGCGGTGGGGTAGCCAAGTGGGTAAAGCGTTGGCTCGTCACGCCTAAGACCCGGGTTCGATTCCCCACATGGGTACAATGTGTGAAGCCCGCGTAAAACCAAACTCGCTCGCTCGCTCTTAGTTAAAAGAATAAACAGTTCAGGACAAAGGATCCCAGGCAGGTCTCATTCCCGGACAATCAGCACAATGTCCGTGCATGGGTTTCCACCAAAACCGTAACTCTCGTAGACGTTTCTTGGACTACCGTCACACACCGTGACGTAACACTTCTCGTGGCTGCATTCAGCTCACTGTCTCATACCTAAGTTACTTACATTTTACGTATATCTATGCTCCTGCTGTTGATCACTGGTTTGTCTAGTCCAGACTCGATTATTTACTGACCGCCGCCATAAAGCTGGAATATTGCTGAATGCGGCGTTAAGAGACAAATAAACAAACCTGAGTTACTATTTCCCAGTTACAAGCTGGCATGAGCACTCGGGGTCAAGATGTGTTCCGAAAATTCTTTATCAGGACAGCTTCAACCAGCACAACGTGGACGTCAGCCGTATGATAACGTCACCATATCTTGTCTGGGAAGAACGTATCTACAATAAATACATTTTTTGAAGCTAAGACACCTTGAGGCAAGGTCTCATAGATATGTACTTTATAGTGACAGATTATATGACATGGTGAATATAGCATATTAGCCGACACATCGAAGGCTATTCAGATTCTACCACAGGTCCGACTTGACTTCGCCATGCATTGTCAGTAGTGGTGGACGTGAAGCGCACATTGGCATCAGTGTATCAGTCAGGCCGACAGGAGGCTGGCCACTAACAGGACGGAAGAAAGGCCGTACATTACTGGCAATGAGATCGAATTTGTTTTGCATTTATTTTGAATCCCGTGTGGAGGTGAACATAGTACACAAAATACGCCATCAGTTTAATCCATCACTTTCTATAGCTACGTTCTGTAGTGTATGAATTGACTGAACCTCGTTATGATGTTAGACTGCACTGTGTCGGTTCTATTCAACCGCGATGTTGCCTCTAGTGATTTTCTGTTGATTATGTGCACAGTAATTAGCACGGGAATGGTGTCTGTGACGACTGCGCGATGCATGCACATCACTCTAAAATGTGCCATTATGGTGATTATATGGCCCCTTATGGATGATAACCTGGTTGGTAGCGAATACGGTCATTACGTATGTTAGTCCCTTGATAACATATACTTGGTGTAAAGGGATTAGTCGCATTCAAAGACTTTATACAACAGAAGTGAGTAATGAAGGCAAATCGTCTCGCTCCAGAAATAGCTGAAAAGGCATGGGTCGGGTTGGCTTGCGGCAAGTCGTCGGTCTCTCTTATTGATGGGAGCATCCCTCTGCACTGAATCACTGCGAACATATTCAATATTCACTGGTCCTCGGCTCGCCGAACCGGCTACACATCAAACCATAGCGCACCGCGCGCGTTTCAGTGTCAAACGTACTCTCTTGTCAAGCTGGAACCGCGGAAGTCTTCAAAGTCGGCACCCGCTGCCAGAGAAGACCAATCAAAGCTCTAGGTTGTCTATTTGGTGCGAAAGTGCACGCGCCGTCATGGAGGTCAGGGGTTAGAAAATCACGTGACTGCTGGGGTACGGAAGTGTTTGAATGGTGGTGGAACGAAGATTTGCAAACTTTCGATGTTATGTGCAGACTGGGTGTCTGGTCCTGGGTTAATTACAATCATTGATCGCTCGTGCACTAGAAATGGCTTTGATTGACGAGTAATTTCCGTGGTTCGTTGCCGAGGATTAGTTCTAGCGGCAGTGAGTGGAAAGGTAGCTATCGGCAGCCCTCGTGGAGAGTGAGAAGTTTTTATCGTGATCAAAGTGAGTAAGTGTTGGACTTCCCCCGCCTGCTACTGTAGTAGAAGATCTGCTACACATGCCGTGAAACACGGCGCTCCCTGCACGTGAGGGACTAGCAGCTCGTGGCGCGGGGAGATTCCGTCTGTCTGGTCGCAGGATAACATGCCGACTTGAGAGGGTAGCCGCGAGAAGTTGTGGCAATTCAAATTTCGCTATCACGGTTTCAAGTTTCGCACGGAAAAGAAGATTTGCTTCCAACTTCTGTGAGAATGTGTGATGGTTCCTTGTGTGACGTGTCTGTTTGGTCCTAGCACCAGCTCGAGACACGAGCCGCAGGGGCAGAGGGGGTCTTTTGACAGTTCGTTCTTTGACAGTAAACTGTGTTTACAATACAATGCCATCGAAGAAACAATACGATTTAGTCTCCGATGACGGCTACGACAGTCGGATCCCCCTTCACAACGACGATGCTTTTGAGCACGGGATACCTTTCTCCGCCAAGGTGAGTTGTATTGTATTGTATTACATGTTTGGCAGAGAACACCATGTTTATTGCGAATCCCGAACGGGAATTCCAGACTGCCTGGGGATCATCTCAAAACTCGCTCGCTGTTTATTGTCGACAGCTGGCTGGATGATTAAAACGCTGTGTTATGTTTGACGTTTGTCAGCCGAAGCGGGCTTACATCGGATTCTGTGGGATTTTGTGCATGTATTGTGTACTCACGTAGAACCTATGGCCAAATCTTGTTTGTCAAGAAATGGAAACGTCCGTCCCGACAACACTGTGAAGCGCTTTTTATCAGGAAACATGTAGATTTACCCGTATATTTTGTAGAAACAAATGCTTTGCTGAGTATGAATGAAGATTTCATTGTTTAAAAGACGTCTATGGCTTTTCATACAATGGTCATATTTAATAACAATGATACTACCCGAAGACTGGGTTGAACAACACTGTTAACTCCCCAGTGATAAACATGATTCAATATTATCTGGTATCCAGTGAATGGTATGACCTACCTGTGATATTACCGGTACCCCATGAGCTGTACAATATGATGATATTACCGGTACCCCATGAGCTGTACAATATGATGATATTACCAGTACCCTATGAGCTGTACAATATGATGATATTACCAGTACCCTATGAGCTGTACTATATGATGATATTACCAGTACCCTATGAGCTGTACAATATGATGATATTACCAGTACCCCATGAGCTGTACAATATGATGATATTACCAATGTCCAATAACTGGTATAATGCAGCAGTATCATTTTGTAGTAACAATCATGATTAATTATTTCTAAAACATTAATTCTATAGGATTATTTCTGTAGTTCCCCAGCATGTGTAAAACTGGTATATGACAAGAAATAATGGAAACAGCACTATAGAAAAATAGTACTGTTTCAAGTTTGAATGCAGATCAATAAAAATTATCACATATCTGACGTGAAATGAAGTTTTCGACCTACAAATATATGTGAGTCCACCCTGGTGGTTTAGTGCCTGTGTGTTCCCTGTGGGCGTGGTCATCTTGACTCCCTGGGGTACAGTCTACTTGACACCTGGACAGACTGACTTGATGAGTGTGTTGGTGAGATAAAGTTCTCCTGTTACATCAGCTAGTTAACATGTATACAGGTTATCAAGTATTGAGCATTCCGCCATATTGCGCCCAGGCTCGCAGCAAGTCCAGTCCAGCAAATACTACTCTGCTGTCTGGCTGTTCTCATAGAGGCTCCATAGAAAATACATGAAACAGTCACAAGCTTTTTGAAATCTTCATCCACTTGGACCAACTTCGATGATGATGCAGAAGATCACAATGTTTTTTGTAAGCCCAAAAAATGATTTTTCCAGATAATTCGGTACACTTGTCAAACGAGATAAGTCAGAAAAGATAAGAAAGATGTTTGATTTAGAGACAGTGTTGCCTCATGCAACTTGTGTTAAGCTAATGAGTCTTGGGGCAAGGGAATCACTATGAAGAGTTGATATTTTCTTCAGTTTAGTTGTTCCCTCTTCATGACAGAGTCATATACGGAAACACAGCATTATGTGTCACCATAGCCACGACTGATACAAACATCGACCTGCATGCATGGAACCGGTTTCTTAACAGTACACTGGTCTCCAAAACAAACTTTGTTTCTTGGCATTGTTAGTCAATAAATTATGCAGTAAAAATATTTGGTAAAATTGAATTTTCACGATCTTAATGATTTTTGGGTTTTGATTTAAGATGTAGAAATGTCAAATGTTTTTTTCATTTAATTGAAAATGGGGCTTTTTGTGTTACATCAATCCTTTACATTCGACATAAAGCAGAGCTACAGATAATGTTTTGGGTCATTGAGTTATGTACTCCCTTGTGTTCATCTCAATTGGGTATCCTAACTTTCCTTTCAGTAACGAAATAAATTGTACTCACTTCAGTCAAACTCATTTGGGTATTGTGCCAATTTCCATTTATTTTAAAAATATAATATAGTTTAAATGTTAGTGTTTGTGATTTACCTTTGATCTGTAATATGAGAAACGATAAGAAAGACTGCAGGTTGTCAAGTTCATGTCCTAAAATAGAACCTCTCAGTATACCTCAGTTATTTTATCTATCCACCGGTACGCAAGCTACGATTGGACATTTTTGTGTGTACGCATGTAAGATCACATTTATTGAGTATTTACAAAACTTCAAGCGTACTTGTACGCAATAGACTTAATAGGAATTGGGTTTTCACATAAATGTTTGCGTAATTTACGCAGATACGCAGCTTATCTGTACCTCTGATAAAGGTTATCATATAGCTTCTTTGACTTGGACGCTGAAAAACTAGAGAATCTTTTTTTTATAATCCCAAGGTTATACTAGTGGTGTTCGATTTAATTGAAATAATTGAAGTTTGGTCGCGGTGACAAAATCACCAAGCACTTGATCACATATCCTCATAATTGAACACAAACGATTTTGGAACTACTCTTTTAGTCTTTGAAACGCATGACATATCATAGAAGTTGTCAGGGCCTGAAAACGTGTTGTATTCTTAGAAAGCTCACTTCACCTACTGAAAAGTCATGACTGAATATTTTGTGAAGACTCTGGGAAGTTTTTATCCATCATATATTAGTCATGACTTTAAAAGAGCAAGTTGTATCATTTTACATTGGCAGTTTCGAAATGAAACAAAAAACAACAGATAGCCACATGTTTTTTTCTTTATACCTATCTGCATTAACAACCTGAACAGGAAAATCTGCAAAATGACGCTAACCAAGTTTTTTCGATGATTGCTTGTTGGTAATGAACCTATCATCAGTTGTGAGATTTCAACCAATTCCCAACACTAAAGGATACAGAGATGGCATTATATTGTTGTAACCCAATGTTAAAGGTCAGCGGGCAGGGAAGGTGTGGTATATCATTGTTACCCTGAAGATTAAAGGAAGGGGAGGGAGAGGCTGCACATGGGGGAGTGTCAGGTTCCCCCCAGCCCTCCCAAGCCATGGAGTATACTAGATCTGTTGGAGATATCAACCATGGTGTAATGGAGGAGATGAAAGCAGGCTGCTCCCGTTATCCTGACGTACAGGCTACCTGCCGTGTCCTGCTGCCAACATTATTGCTTGAGAAATGTGGACAAATGTTAAACCACAAGAAAACAGAATGTGTCATAGTTCTTTGCTCCTTGAGTAGCGGATGTTGTGTTCAGGGAGCTGTTGTAGCTGCTGCATGGATGCTGTTGTTATCGCTGTTGCTGAGGTTGGCAGATAACAGTTAATGGCTGTTGGTGCTGAATCCTGCTGATGGAGGTATCTCAGCTTCTGTATACGCCGGACCAATATCTGGTCTGCCCAGAGAAGACGATCAGATGACGATCAAATTTCGCCTGTTGACTTTTTGCCATTACTTTCTAAATATGGCTTCAATCCTATCATGCATCTGTCTGTGGACCTGGTCTCTACTAGCGGTATGTCCACTGTGTACAGTATGGCCAGGTGTCCACTGTGTACAGTATGGTCAGGTGTCCACTGGGTACAGCATGGCCAGGTGTCCACTGTGTACAGCATGGCCAGGTGTCCACTGTGTACAGTATGGCCAGGTGTCCACTGTGTACAGTATGGCCAGGTGTCCACTGTGTACAGTATGGCCAGGTGTCCACTGTGTACAGTATGGCCAGGTGTCCACTGTGTACAGTATGGTCAGGTGTCCACTGGGTACAGTATGACCAGGTGTCCACTGTGTACAGTATGGCCAGGTGTCCACTGTACAGTAAAGCCAGGTGTCCTCTGTACAGTATGGCCAGGTGTCCTCTGTGTACAGTATGGCCAGGTGTCTGCTGTGTACAGTATGGTCAGGTGTCCACTGTGTACAGCATGGCCAGGTGTCCATTGGGTACAGCATGGCCAGGTGTCCACTGTGTACAGTATGGCCGGGTGTCCCCTGGGTACAGTATGGCCGGGTGTCCGCTGTGTACAGTATGGCCGGGTGTCCACTCTGTACAGTATGGCCAGGTGTCCACTGTGTACAGCATGGCCAGGTGTCCATGGGTACAGTATGGCCAGGTGTCCACTGTGTACAGTATGGCCAGGTGTCCACTGTGTACAGCATGACCAGGTGTCCACTGGGTACAGCATGGCCAGGTGTCGACTGTGTACAGCATGGCCAGGTGTCCACCGTGTACAGTATGGCCAGGTGTCTACCGTGTACAGTATGGCCAGGTGTCCACTGTGTACAGTATGGCCAGGTGTCCACCGTGTACAGCATGGCCAGGTGTCTACCGTGTACAGTATGGCCAGGTGTCTACCGTGTACAGTATGACCAGGTGTCCACTGTGTACAGTATGGCCAGGTGTCCACTGTGTACAGCATGGCCAGGTGTCCACCATGTACAGCATGGCCAGGTGTCCACCGTGTACAGTATGACCAGGTGTCCACTGTGTACAGTATGGCCAGGTGTCCACCGTGTACAGCATGGCCAGGTGTCCACCGTGTACAGTATGACCAGGTGTCCACTGTGTACAGTATGGCCAGGTGTCCACTGGGTACAGCATGGCCAGGTGTCGACTGTGTACAGTATGGCCAGGTGTCGACTGTACAGTATGGCCAGGTGTCGACTGTGTACAGTATGGCCAGGTGTCCACCGTGTACAGTATGGCCAGGTGTCCACCGTGTACAGTATGACCAGGTGTCCACTGTGTACAGTATGACCAGGTGTCCACTGTGTACAGTATGACCAGGTGTCCATGGGTACAGTATGACCAGGTGTCCACTGTGTACAGTATGACCAGGTGTCCACTGGGTACAGTATGGCCAGGTGTCCACTGGGTACAGCATGGCCAGGTGTCCACTGTGTACAGCATGGCCAGGTGTCCACTGTGTACAGCATGGCCAGGTGTCCACTGTGTACAGCATGGCCAGGTGTCCACTGTGTACAGCATGGCCAGGTGTCCACTGTGTACAGCATGGCCAGGTGTCCACTGTGTACA